ACACACACACACACACACACACACACACACACACACACACACACACACACACACACACACACACACACACACACCAAAACATATGTCTGGTCTCGCTGGACCTCTTGTACACAATCNGAAAAATCCACTTCTTCATGTCTTGTATACATCAACATGTGTCCCCTCTGTGTAAAGAGAGTCTGAAAGTTTCAGGAAAAAAGATTCGCTCACTTTTTGCCCTGATACATTTATATAAAAACCTGTCTGAAAATGAGCTGATCAGATTTTGTCCACTTTATGATGTCATAATGTTTTTTTGGTTGTGTAACCATTAGACAATCACCAACCAAGGTAACCCCCCCCCCCACCTTATCACCTGAATCTCCTCCTAGAGCACCATTGTGTTCTTTTGAACCAAAAATCTCTCAGAGGGGCGTGGGGAGGGGCTCCTTATTTTCATCTAAAGTAACAGACAGAGAATCCGCAATTTTGAAACAGGGCTGAAACAGAGGGGATTATGGGCTGAAACAGAGGGGATTATGGGTAATGCTGCAATGATCTGTTTGGTGTTTGGAGCCAAACACTTCAGAGACATGTTCTGTATATATCTGAGACCTATAATATTTTGATGAAAAACAGTATGATAGGGGATATTTAAAGGAGAAAAATACTAATATTTCGGTGACCTTTAACGATAGCTTTTGAGGAATTAGGCAAAGACCTTAGGAGGAAGCGTGCGTCCGAGGGATCTGCCGTAAGCGGTGAGGAGCTGCTGGCTCCTCTTATGAGGTAGGCTGTCACTCGGGTGGGAAGAGTTTTCTTTGTTACTTCTTCTTCTATCCTTCAGGGAGTGCTACAGAGGAATCACACAGAACAAGATGAGATAACAAATCAAATAGACTATGTGCCAGAGGACAGAGGAGAATACGAAGTTCTATTAAAGCTGTAACTTGCCTCTCTGATGGAGTTGTTAGTGAAGGCCTGCCCCTCCGACAGCTCTGCATACTTTCCTTCCAAACACGCCAGTTTCTCTCTCTCCTGCAGACATCAGGATAATACCTGTAAGTAGATTTAATTAATGCATGTACTTTATCATCATAATAAAACATGTTCTTACCTTTTGAAGCATGATGATCAAATTGTTCTTCTCTCTCTGGAAGTGCTCTCTTTCTTGCTGAGCCTGCAAGGTGATCTGTGAGGACTGTTTCTTCAGTGTCATGATTCTTTCCTGTGACATAAAAAGCATAGTTTCACCATATCACACTATCCTGCGACTTAATAAGAGCACAGTAAGGTTTCAAATGAGCAGATGGCTTATGTTAGGAAGCAGCAGCAGAGAGAGAAAGAGCAAATGGGAAAGACATTTGATTTAGTATTCTCATCTAATCTCATCTTGTTTCTTCCCCCTTTCCGCAGAATTACCGCTGTTGGAAAATCGATGTATTCTTTGTCTTTAGTGCTATATCAATAATATGTCATGCTTACCATTGCTGTTTCTTGTAATTAGTTCATGCTTTTTTGCAGCTTTATTTTCATGCACAACCTGTAGTAAATCAATCACAACAAACCACAATGTAGTAATTGAACAAAGCCCTCAACAAAGAACAGTTTGAATGATTACCATGAAACTTGAAGGCTTGAACAGATCTTTTATTTTGTTGCAGATGAAAGTCAGATTTAACAAATAGAAACTTCAAAGTAGCTACAACCCTGCACTTTTTAAAAAGACATATAACAATTGGTCCACCGCCAGAAGACAGCACACATTTCAGATGCTTCTGTACATGTGGCTACTTAATGGACACTAATCTGCAATCGTACTCCGAAAAATGCCTAGAGTAGAAATCGTACTGATGATATTTCAGCGTTAAAGTACTGTAAGACATTTAAAAGTGATGCGGTGCCAGCCCTGCCTGCAAAGTAAACATGCTTCATGCACACTCTTGAAACCTCCGTGGCCGTACCTTGCGTGTTACAGCCAGACGCTGATGCTCGGCGGTCTCACGCAGCAGCTCCTGGCTCTGACTGTCTTTTTCCTCGTGCTGATTAATTTCTCTCTCCAGCTTCTGAAACTCCAAATCCTCCAAACTTTTAATCTGCTCTGCAGAACCCTGATGAACAGCACAGAAGCACACACACATATAACAATCTGAAGCTACATAAATAGATGAGGACACGCTGTGTTGGATCTGCTCTGGGCACAAGGATCACACTTTATGGAAATACATGAATGGACACAGTTTGGGTGTTTTATGACACATTATTCAATGCAAAAAACATGTAAGAGTTTTCCTATTTTTCACAATGTAATAAGCGTTGTGTGTTCTTGCGTATGATTACAGGTTTCAGGTTATTTTTTAATTTCCACCAAATCTAAGGCAGATGCGCTAACAACCTCTTTTACACATGGCACCTATTAGGGCCCCTACCCAAATGTAGGAACGAGGGACACCAAGGCAAAACACTAAGTTTTGAAGGTGAGACTGGACGTAAAGGAAGGGATCTTTGATTGCAAAGAACAAGGTCAAGAGGATAATAAAAGGCACCAAGAAACTCGTTTTGAAGGAAAAGAAAATACAGGCGGCACGGCGCTCATTGCTAACATGAGCTAATCCTTGAATAAAGTGGTGCGGTTGAGTTAGTTTAGGCGTTCTGCCTAGAGGAGTAATAAGAATTAGGCTGAATCTGAATCTACAGTGTATGCAGGAAACAATGTTTTATGACTTTCTTTGGAGATGCCTTTACATTTGAGCCATTTGTTCTGTTGCACACATGGACTGTTTTAGTAGAGAGTCTTTAGATGAACTTTTAAGCTGCTTTGTAGATCCCATGTGTGAGGAACCCTCTTGGAAACCTAATGTGTTTGTTTGGTTCTAAAGGAAATGTAACTGGACCCATGTTAGAGGAAGCTGTGGTTGAACTGAACGGATCTCAGAGAGTTTGTTTAGAGTCTGTGAACCCGTGTCCACACATATCTGCCAAAAACGTATCATGGCTTGATCATTTGATATGTTTTTACCTGTGATTTCTCCTTGTGGTTAGTGTTCTCAGTACAAGAAATCTTCTTTTTAAGAAGTGTGTCCAGGACCTCTTTATCCCTCTGCAGCTGGGCCATCTCAGACTCTTGTTCCCCCTCCAGCAGAGCACACTCCACCTCCATCTGCAAGAACAAGGGCAAAACAAACTGTCTTCAAAACATATTGTCAATTGTAAGACAAACTTCATAAGCTAATCAGACAGAATCATACAAACAAAAGAGCAAAACGGATGATTATTTCATCCACTTTAACGTTCTCTACTGGGATGAGCTTGTGAGATAAATGTTAAATGCTCTCAAGTTTTCAGTAATTCATTAGTTTGTCTCACACTTTAAAAGAACAAACACTACTGAGCTGTCAGCTTTCTACCTCTCGGACAGACTCCTCCATCTGGTTCTCCAGGTCTTTGATCTTCTGCTCCAGCTCCTCCATGTTGTTCAGGACTTGGATCCTCTCTTCCTCTATTTGAGTTACTTCCTGTTTCAGCTGCACGCTCTCCAGGGCCTGCAGTGACATCAGGAACGCATCAATACTTGGCTGTAGAGGAGGCTTGCATATACCACAAAAAACTCATTGTTGTATTAAAAAAAAATTCACAAAATATGAAGTTAGTGGGGAATAAGCATCTGCGAATTTGATGAGAATACTTTGTATAACATGGGAAACACATTCTCCACACCATGTTGTTAAACTCATTTGCATCAGTTTTTCTGAATAAGACTCAGCAGCTGCTGTTTTAACTCATCCGAAGCTGGATTGCTGACAGCAGGGGCAGGGTTGTTTTCTACTTGGTGTAATGGAAATCTCTATCAGTGCACTCCACTGCCAGTCACGCCAGAGCACTCCCACATATTTCATCGTCTACCAACATCCCACACACATTCATTCATACCCATACGTGGGTACATTTAAGAGATCCTGAATTTTCAGGTATTCTTTCTTTTAATAGTCAGAAGGATTGTTTTATTGGTCACAGCCTCATCTGGCCAGCAGCTCAAAGATTTATAGTTTCCCTGGGGGGTTGTGAGCGCTCTTTCTTTCTGCAAACACTGCTCTGAGGAATGCAGATGGTGGAGGAGAGAGAGCGATTTGGAGTCTGTAAACCTCTGTCTCAATTGACACATTGCAGGAAAGATTCTCCCTACTTGGAAATCTAATTTCTAATAACATGGATGAAAGTTGTGTCTTCCACATAAAAAAAACTACTGGTTTAATATCTGCGTAAATGTGTCCATTGCAATCTCATTTTCACAAGGTCTTCTATCCATTCAAACTCAGTATTAGAGTTCAAAACATCTGGAAAAATGCATGCGTTTTCATGCATATACACTAGCATTCTTCCACTCACACACACACACCCGCACGCAGTTGAGCATACATGCACACACACATGCGCACACTAATTCTCCTTGGGATAGAGTCATTTCCTGTTCCCCCCAGTTTGAATGGCTGAGTGCTGAAACAAACCTAGGACTTCTTCATTAGAACCAGACACACCATTAGGCTGTTACCGCTGTAGAGTGGAAAAGCTTTTACAGAGACAGTATCTCAGCGGCACTAGGACTGAGACAGTGGAGGAGGGGGCGTCCCTGGAAACTAAACACACAGTATTTCATACATTAAATACATTTATCTTCATAAATGCTGCTTATGTAAAAAGACTTCCTTCTTTAAAACAAAAATAGTTGATAATAGAAGCGATGAGATCAAATTGTAGTCACATCAAAGCTATGAGGGCTTGTGCAACTGTGACTTCAATGTTTATGAGTCTAAGCAGCCCACATAAACAGGAAATGTGCAAACTGCAGGCCGCACACAGTTACTGTACTAAACTTCAGACTAAAAGCCAAAAGATTGTGAGGAATCTGCGTATCGAAAAGAGTTTATGTGTTGAATAATACTGGGAGTGTGGAAGAGACACACTAAATTCAACCACCAAAATAACCAATCAAAGATTTGGGTAAAATGTCCGCACTAATATATACAGTACATGGTCTTTATGTCTTGAACATAATTGTACTGACATTCCCGCCATAGTTCACATAACCAGTACTAGATTTTGAAATGGCGCTCTGTATAAATGCGTCAAGGCAAATGGAAACATGTACCCTGATACTATCAAAGGTAAACAAACAAAGATCAACAAGCTATCAGCAGTCAGAATAAACTGCATTCCTGGGGAGGGGGGTGTCCCGTTAGTCATCACTAAAACTTGGTCCTCCCTTCACTCACTCACCCGTCAGTAGCAGGAAAAAACTGAGAAAGGGTGAAGAAAACAAATATGGAGCAGATGTTCCTTTCTTTATCAAAAGCATTCAGTCCAGGTGATGCCTTATCAGACACTTTACTTTGTGTCCTTAACAGTCCTTTTTCAAAGCAGGCATTGTGACTTAGCAGGAAAAGCACAGGTGTTACTAATAACACTAACGATGGCTCGCTCTATTTAAGCATCCCACTAACCCATGACAGTGTGACAGTGAGCCAGCATGTCCAATAACAGGACGCTGAATCCAAGGCAGCTAACTGGAATCAGATGAGTGCATTTAATGGTTAAACCTAATCTATTGCCCTACTGTCCACATTTCTGCGATATGGACAGTATCCAATTAGCGTAGGGAGGTTCACATAAAAACATAAAAATCCATCCAGCAATAAAAAACACCAAATACCTGTATACAATACGATACAACGCCTCTTTTCAAATATCAAGAATACCCCATAATACTAGCAATGTTAATGATGCCTCTTGCAGTGAGGAATGTGAAGCTTCTGTAGCTTTTTTGCCTCTTTATTTTGCTGCAAAAATTAACTATTTCGGTTACCTTTTTTTTCATCACTCAAAAGAAAAACGTTTTACACTAGTCTCACCAGCGTTAGTAAATGTTTGCTAACTCGTAGCTAATTTCTAAGCTGTTTGCGTTTATTAGCTTATCATTGTGTTATCTGCAGGCCAATTTGAATAATTAGCATAATTTTATTCAACGTGCAAATACTAACATAGGAAATCAGCTTATTTGAAAATGAAATCATGCAGACCACCTTAAAAGTTAAAAAGGGCCCTTGGGAGTTAATTCAGTTTAGAAACAATAGAATTGAAAGAAAATTGAGTTTCATGGATTTTCCCTTTTTTCATCTGTTTCAAGCTTTGATTTCTGATTTTGGTCATTAGATTGAATTTACCAGATTTTTTCTCTATAATACAATGGTCCAATTTCAATAAACTACTTCTGGTAATACAATTGTGATTATTTTTGTTGATGATTTACTGGCATTTGATTTAATTCCTTATCCCTTATAATTTGTAAATATTCAACCCGACCCTTCTGACATGATATTTAAGAGGGTCTGTCAGGAGGATACATTTGGATTTAAAAGCTGACCTTGGCTCTGTGGTGGGTGGAAGGTGAGGGGGCGTTGCTGTTCAGGCTGACGGCAGGAGAGTGGGCCCGGGCGTCTCTGTAGACGCTCTGCTGACGCTGGCTGACCGGTTGCTCCTCGGACAGCTGGAAGTCTCTGGCTTTGGCTCCGAAGCCGCTCTCTGGAGCCGGGCTGCTGGGAGAGTCGGAAAACACAGACTCATCGTCGGAAACCTGCAGCTTCTCCAACTCCTTATTGATCTTCTGCAAGTCAGAAACAGCTGATCCCGCCGGCTCTCTCTCCACATGGCCGAACCCGGTGCACAGGTTTAAGATGGTCTCTAGACGCTGGCACTCCTGTAAGCAGGGGATCCACACTCAGAGATGGCTAAAGTACACACATCCTTCACTCAAGTAGAAGTACAGATACTCGTGTTTCAAAATACTCTGGTAAAAGTAGAAGTACTGACTAAACGTCTTTACTCAAGTAAAAGTAAAGAAGTATGGGCTTCAAAATGTACTTAAAAAATAAAAAGTACCCATAACTAGTTTTATAGAGTAACTGACCTCACTTTATATTAACAGAACAATATTGTCATTGTTAGCTCATGAATGTTTCGATGCTGAACAACGGCACAAGGTAACAAACCTGTTTTGAAAATGTAAGAAGTAGAAAGTAAAAATAAGTAGTGGAGTAAAGTACTGATACTAGGACAATTTACAAATGTACAGTAAGTACATTAACGAAGTATTTGTACTCCACTACTTCCCACCTCTGTCCATACTTCATTATTTCACAGCATTTTAGTTATTTAACTTTGATCTGACATTTTACAAGATGGTATTAACAAGGAATAAGTTTCAAACACAAACTCACCAATCTCTGAACTTTCTGCTCCCTGAGTCGTTCATCTCTCTGATGCAGGTGATAGTCTCTCAGATCCTCTTTGCCATTCAGAGAGCTAATGCTGCCCACCCTTTGTCCAGGACTCAGTCCCCCCTTCCCAAAAGACAACCTCCTCTCCCCAAACCCCAGATCTAAGCCCGTCCCGTCCAGATCTACACCCAAAGAGCTCAAGGAGGCCAGGCTGGCTCTCCTGGAGGTGCTGGGCATGCTGGCTGGCACGGTCACGTCTGGCGGCTGCTCCAAGGAGGAGAGGCTGCGCCGCTGCCCCGCTGACCCTCTGTGGGACCCCGAGGAGTGTCGTGATGGCAGCGACAGCGCAGGGGGGTCAGGTGCGTTGTGTAGCCGTGGAAGAGATCGGCTGTGCGTCCCCAGGCTGGTGAGGGAGCCAGTGGAGTACTTCCTCTGCCGGGAGTCTCCTCCAGCTTTGCCCTGAGAGTAAATCCTGCGACCCATGCGAGGGCTGGACGGCACGCTGGCTGCTCCACTTTTGACCCTGGGAGATCGAGGTGGGGGCTGCCCGTAGGAGGAGAGCAGAGAGTTTCCATCGGCTGCGTTAGAGAGGAACAGGCTGTCTTGAGACTGGTGGCGGGAGTGGGAATGTCGGAGCAAGCCGTTGGAGCTCAGCTGGCGTTCACCTTGGCGAGGCGATGGAGGCACGCTGCTGCTGGTCATGTAGGAGAAAGTTCTGGAGGCAGGGGGGGGCCTGTCGGTGTTGCTGAGGATGGACAGCGGCCTGGAGGACTGGGACCCCACAGGTGAAGGCACGCTGAGGTACTTGCGGCTGCACTCAGCTGCCCTCAGGCTGGCCTCCAGAGCACTCTTCCTGCGCTGCAGTGTCTCCATCAGATCCTGCAGCTCTGCTTTAGAGCGAGAGCCCCTCAGCAACGTCCCCCCCACCGAGCCACTGCCGCTGTGCTCCATCTTCACACAGTCTGTTGAGAAGAGAAAGTTGACAGAGCATGAAATCCTGTCCCTTTTTGGACTGTGTAATAGTCAGGTTTAATGTAACCAGCTCAGCTAAGAGAAGAGCTATCACTCATGTGCTGAGTAAGGGGAGGGGAAACCAGAGAAGAATGTACGCTCATACAGTTCTGAGCCCAAAACAAACACTGGCTCAATCAGTGGTTAAGCTTCTTCTAAAAATGGAAGAATGATATGGGACCAGGACTAGCCAGAATGCAGCATAGTTTTGTCTGGAAGAGAAATCACTTCCAGCCCAGTACGAATATCTGAGCAAGCAGTCTGAGGACAAAATCCTGAGTCATGGTTGTCTGGACGCTGATTCATTGTTGTGATATTTAAGAATATCTACCTCTTGTACTCCTTTGTGACAACCAATCCTAGTATTTTGCTTTAAAGACACATTATAAAAAAAACTATTCTGCACATGCATTTAAGGATCTGGAGTGCCAACCCAGCCACAAACTGTGCAGTAAGACCACCCAGTCAGTTTTGTGGGCTGCTCCAGGAAAACAGGGGATTCAACAAGCCAATCAAATGTGGTTCACATTAGACATTACAATATATCACCAGACATCGGTGTATTTCCATCCATTCCCAAAGGACTTATATTGCAAATGTGCGCCATATTTTTCATGCAAACTAATAACAATAGACTGGACTTTTTTTGTGAGGGGGGCCTTTAAGAGACAGATGATAAAATGGAGCGTTTCAGAAAGAGATATATTCAGAGACAGTAGAAAAATCAAGTATCTTTTGCCCTTTATTAAAATTAGCCGTAGCGTGACCTCAGCTTTCCAAAAATATTCTCCTTATTTAGCATTGAAGAAATAGGCTCGAAACATGCAAATGTCACTAAAACTAAGATGTTCTTGGACATGGATTTATGCCAAAATAACTGAGTTATCCAGATTACTCATTCAACCTTCTTCTTCTTCACGAAGCACTTAAACTAATCCAGACTTTCAAGACATAAACCAGCTGAAATGATATTTATTTTGTCATTGAGCTAACTCTGTAAAGGACCTTTAATGAGATGCAGTCCAGACGTGAAATGGATAATCAGTAAGTGTAGATGAGTTTGAGTTTCACCACTTAATGATTTAAATAAAGTGATCAATGTCAGTTAAAGAAAACAATGACGTTTGTTTTGGATGTTGTCTTACCTGAGCTGTAGCCCAGAGTGGAGACAGCACTCCTCTGAGGCAGCATGCTGTGCATCACACTGACCTCCTTTCTCTGATTCAGACTGAGGAGGCAGGATTCAGCTGGACCCTAGTGCTTGGTTCGCTGAGAGAAAGAAAAGAGGGATCAAGAGGAATATCACATAACATGAAAACCCTGTAAAAAAAAAGTGGTATAAAACTAATTTAGCCTAATCTTACCTATTGGATTCCAAATAAATTCTATAGTTAACCATTTAATCATTTAAATTCAAACTTTTGAATACACTCATACTAGGGCTGCTCAATTAATCGTATTTTAATCGCAATTACGATTTTGGCTTGCAAAGATTATGAAAACAACATAATCGAAATAAAACGATTTTTTTTTTTTTATTGATTTTTCAGTTGAATTATACTTAAAGTTCAGAGTAATCAACTATTAAAAACATACTGTTCAAATATTTTTTTTCAATAAATTGATGTTTTCAAAGTGAATGGATAATCGTTTTTAATAATGTGATATCAATTATTGACCCAAATAATCGACATTATGATTTTTGCCATAATCGAGCAGCCCTAACTCATACTACTGCAACTTCAGCTAGCAGGATCTTTCAGCAGCAACATATTTAAAGAGCATCACAGGAAGTTGAGTCCATGACTTGCGGTCCCAAAACGTATCCTCTGACAACTCTGCAACAATACCTCGATTCAAGCAGATATTTCAGATGTGCATATTTAAACAGAAATGGAGGAGAAAAAAACGTTCCCAAAGACTAAGTAGGAAAACAGATTCAGGGGAAAGTTTTCTGTCTGGCTCAGCGTCCTCAATAAAAACCAAGTCTGAAAAGCAGCAATCTGCACCTAAATCTTTGGTTTAACACCCCGCTCATGACCATTCCTTAAAGTTTTCCCTCAGACTTATTGAGACAGCTGCCAAAGTCAAAGTTCAGGCAGGGTCAATCTGGACTGGGATTGCTTTTAAATTTGCATTTTCTAATTCAATTTTTGTCCTGAATCTTTGAGTACAAATACCAAATGCACATCTTAAAAACGCCAACCTATAGGAATTCAATATATTCTTCCTTTTAGGCTCTTGTGACTTTAGATGTGAAATATAATGAGTACATTATTATTGGGTCATCATAAACAAAGAAAGATTGAATGATGGCAAAACAGCACTAAAACAGCCTCCAACCCTCAGCAAGAAAAAGGCACTCCTCTATTTAAAAGAAAGATAACATACTAAGAAATCCTAGACCCACACTCAGTTCATTTCACATGAAATTCAGATTGAGTAAAGTTATTTTCAGTGTCGGATTTTTCAGTCAGACATGATTGCTTCCTGAATCAGAGAAAGAGAGAGAGAAGACTGATCCAAGATTTTCTTCTCCTGCTGTCTGGAGAGCTTGGCCTCCAGGAAGTAAGGTATCCTTTTACAGTCACACAATCAATCAGCATGAGTTCATTCCCCAGACCTCCTGAAAAAAGGGGAGGGGGAGTGAGCCCCCAGCCTCACGTCAGGAGCAAAAGCTTTCACAGCATCACCCAGACAACAGTCCGGCAGGGAAATGCAGATATAAACACAGAGAGATGTAAACAGTTTGAGGAATGGCTTGGAGGAGAAGTGTGGTAACACTGAGGACATACTTTTACTTTGCCTCAGCCTCAAACCGCTGTTGCAAAATAACATTGTTAAGGTGGGAAATCTCACAGATATGCAAACTGAATAAGCTTCAAAGTCAATTAGGCGTACAATTAGCAACCAGCGCCCATGGTGGGATCTCGAAGTGTCTTAATTTGTCTCACGAGAAAATCCAAAACACAATTTTAAATGATACAAAAGAAATCAGCCAACAAACAAACACACGGACTGACTCATAAACACTGTTGGCTGTCATCCAGTATTTTTTTTGAATTAGTCGTGTCATTTCAGACACAGCAAAATGAACCAACACCTCTTAGCCTTAAAACCATGTTAGCTGACAATCCATTCCCGAGACATGCTTCTGTAAATGTTTGCATCTTTCTTGTGCAACAGCTTGACACATTTGCCTGACTTTCACATTATTCAGTGTTTTTACGCACACGTTCACAGCTCTTCATTTGGCAACAACTGTGCATGCAGTATATGATAAACAAAGTATGAGTGTAAATTAGCCAAAATGTAGCCATGTGATCCTCCGGGAGCATCCCTATTAGTATCGATCAGGACATTAGGGAGGTGAGTGGATCGACTTCTGCGTAAAAAGAAAATCGACTAACCTTTGCTCTCGGTCTCACTCACATAGTGGGGTTTTTTATCGCGTCTGCATCTGCGGAGTCCTCTCTCTCTTTATGAAACGAGAAACTAAAAGTCTTCCCATGACAAAGGATCAGACAGCAGACCCTTCCCCTTGCTTCCCCTCCCACCTCAACTTTTAGCTCACTCTCCTCCCCAGGAGAGTGAAAAGGGTGGAGGGGGGAGTGTGTGGCATGCATCAGGCGCTTCTGCTGCCCCTTCCTGGTTAGATAGAAAATTGCTCATGTGAAGAGAGCAACAAGATGAGCCTTAAATAGGACATATTACGCTTGTTCTCCGGTTCATATTTGTATGTATTTCCTCTGCTGTGGCATGTAAGCTTTAATGTTCAAAAAGCTCTTTATTTTTCTCATTCTGCCTGTGCTGAAGCGCCTCTTTTCACCCACTGTCTGAAACCAGAGCCCAGTCTGCTCTGATTGGCTGGCTGGCTCTGTTGTGATTGGTCAACCACTTAGAGATGTTCTGTCCCTTAGCCTATCACCTACAATGTGTTGGAGCACTAGCCAAAAGAAGTGCAATGTTACATAGTGATGTCACAATGATCAATAATCTGCAGTATCATGTTGTTTACTATCATATTACAGCATGCAGATTTCAGTGATTTACTGTGAATCTGTACCGGTCTCTGATCTCCATTTTCTATGTCTCTCTTTAAACCCTTGATCTGAACTCTCTTTGCTTCACATCATGTCCACAATGCGAACAGTTTTCTTGTCTGCTTGTTTGTTCACACAGTGAAATAACTAAACTCTCCTCTTTTCTCACACAGAGGAGTCTTACCACATTGTGGGTTTCTATAGTGGAAAAAGCAAGAGCAGGCATTAAAGTTGTAAAGTTGACTCTCAGATTGTTGTTTCAGCAGTATGTGGAGGCAGGAGGAGGCCCCATCATTGTGTTTGAAACAGAGCCAACCTCACTCCCCCTGTGAAGCCAAGTCGATACCCCTCACAGTCAGACACTGAGAAACACTACCCATACTGCAACCCTGAAGATATTTAATATTCGGGTCATTCTTTGATCTAATAGATTTTCAACAATGAAAAACAGCGTGTGGTTAATACAAGAGAAAAAAAGTAGATGATAAATTAGAAAGTTCAGGGACTAGAATGAATGCGAAATTACTTTGGAAAAGTCCCCTGAATCCCACTGAAAATCTTGAACCTTCATGCAAAAAAACATCAATTACATCATAGGGAGGGGGCTGGGGAGTGCAGCCTGGACTAGATGATTACTTCCAGACTCAGAGCCGGGGTCTTTGTCATAAAAACCCACAGGCACACACACATACACACGTCTGTCAGCCTCACTCTTTCATGCCTTCACATTTCAGGAAAGTCAAATGACACTGAAATCTCAGGAGGGTCTCATTTGAAAACTGGGAAACTGTATTACCGACACATTGATTTAACAGTCATAGGGCTGGAATGTCACTCCACTTCCTGCCAAAAAGTGTGTTTTAAAAAAAAAAAAGTTAAGATTTGAAAGTATACACCCCTCTATTTGCTGCAAACTGTTGTGTGTGTATGCGTTTTTGGACGAAAATGAAACCATGTGTAGAGCGAATCCAGAGATTCTGACTGAAGGCTGTGGAAAAACCAGGGAGGAGGGGAGACCAACGGAAGAGAAATTAGTGTCAGATTGTGGGAATGGGTGTACATTCAACTCGGGTAATTGTTGGAAGGTCTGAGTCACAGCGTGAAAAGTCTCAAATATCTCTCCCAATCGCAAGAGGCCAAAGTCAATAGGCAATTTTAGGTGTTAAATCTTTTTGTTTTCCTTAAACTGGACTATTCCCTTGTTGATTCATCTTGTTCTGTCTCATTTTTCCCACCTGCCCCGGGATACAAGGGGCAAAAAAACTTGACTCCCAAACTATTTTAACTTGGAAACACCTTTAATCTTAAAATGTGTATTTACTCATATCAGCTCCTACAACCACTGAAGACAAACTAAACATTTGTGAAGCGTTTTTGTGGACTCACCCCTACAGTTCATAAAGATAATGAGCAGGATGTAGGCCTATGGTGAATACAACCCACACCACAGCTGTTTGCATTGTTTCTCTAGATGACTAGCTTCAGTTTGATATGAAAACTGTTTTAAGGTCCACTAGAAACCACAAAACAAGATGTTTGAGAGTTTGTTCCGCCACTGAGCCTGTAATTATATGGCTGTGGTGTGATGCAGGCTCAGTTTGACAGACAATTAAATCATGTCCCCTTTTATTGTGGCAATTTGTTCATTGTCGCAAATCACTCAAATTGCCAGAATAAAGAGGGACATGATTTAATCGTAAAACTCGAGTCAGATGTCCAAACACGCTTTTTGTGGTTTATTTAAGATTAGAAAGCAGATAAGTTGCTCCACTGTTTAGTTCAGTGTTCACAAATGCTCACTTGGTTTACATTAGCAATGGTAAGTTGTTGTTTTTCTGTATGCTGCTGATGCACATCTGTAAAATGCCTGAGCTGGATGTCTGCCTAGTGAAGCCTCCTTACTCATCCCCCTGAAGAAAGCAACAGCTGAAGTGAGTAGGGGGGAATACCCATAGAGGCATATTTGTGCACTCTGAAATGAATCATGTTTCATATACTTCTGTTTCATTATGAGAGACTATAATCAACCTTCAATGTTTCAGATTTTAGAAAGTGGGTCTGAAAAAAAAAACATGGCAAAGGTGAGAATGGATCAGAACATTTTGCAATAGGCACATTTTTATTTTTAAGGCAGGAAAACAAGCTTACACTCAAAGTAAACATATCATATCAATATATCAATAATGTTTTTTCACAGTATATGGAACAGTTACTGCCCCCCTGATAAAGACATTGCTCTTAGAGACGCAGATTCCCAGGTGTGATCTAGATGTGTCTGTTTTTGGACGTGGTTTATCCTCCTCTGCATGTTGCCCATTCATGGCCATAAAATGAAATGACTTGAAGTTCATGATGTATGAACGGGCTCTATGTTTTTAAACTCTTCCCTCTCTACACTACAGGACGGCTGCCCATCATTTCCCTCCACAAGGGGGCCGACTGGATTTTCTTCTTGCTCTTCTTCAGTAGCTTCTGGTAAAGCCTCAGTTTCGTCCTCGGCTGTGTTTGGTGTGCAACCCGCCAGTTCATCCTGCGCTTCAAACTTTATCTGTGTTCCGTTGCATTCATCTCCGTTTGGTCCGATTATGTATCTAGCTGTGGTGTTCAGGTGTTTGTGAAGCCCATCTTCAACAAAACCTGCTCCATTGTATCTTTGCGAGGCTCTTCTGGTCTTCAGTGCTGCACCAGAGAAAGTGGGTTATTAATTGCATGTAATATTGGGCTGTAATTTAATCGATGAGTTGAGCACAATTTATATTGTTTACTTTTCTACTATCATTTGTTAGTAGCGGCAGTACCTCTAAATACTGCTTTATTTTTTATTACAATTTATTACAACTTTGACAATTTATTACAACTTTGACTATATCAGCTAAGGAAATTGATACGTTTTTGATACCAAGAGTCCAGACAGTACCAATATTTGGCCAGAAATAAAGCAAAGTCAGTGATTTATTATTCCTAAACATTTTGGGTCAATCTCTCCTAACAGCCACAGATGCTGCAGCCTACAGATGCTGTAACAGCAAAAAGATCATTTCAAATAATCACGAGTCTTCAACTCTTATAGAAATATCCCCCATATATCAGCACTGTGTACTTTGAATCAAATCTGGATCCAGATGCAGTTTAACTTCCAAAATCAACCATCCAAAAATGCTAAATAATTACAATGCATTGTTGGGGGTTTGCTCTCTTTGAAAATGTTCAAAAGTGCAGACAATGCTGAATCAAAACGCTTTGTGTACAGATTTGAACTGTACAATTAGCCATTTCAGCTACACTTGATTTCATCAGCTATCTTCTTCAAAAATACTACAGAGTGAATATCGTACATACCCTTTTGTCTCGCACATTGAGGGAGGGCCAATGTGATGGTGAACAAGAAAAAAGCTACAGAAGCTGCCGTGCTCCACCATGACCTCTGCGCACTCTGATCGTCCACAACTGCAAAACAAATGTGCAACCATTGTTTCCATATTACTTACTGGATTTATTGAACCAACATCTCCAGTGAAAAATAAATCTAATACTCACTTATTGATGCAACAGTGATGTTAACTCTAGTTTGGATGATGTCTCTGCTCTGCAGGCCTGAGTGGGTGCAGGTGTACGTCCCAGAGTGCTCCTCGATGTCTGGCTTGAGCAGCAGAAGTGATCCGTCGCCCAGCAACAGCAGATCCTGGTCCAGTTCAGCCTGACCCTCCCACAGGTTGAAGCTGTGTCTGGTTTTTGCGTCATATCTCAAGATCACTGTGTGCTCAGTGGAAGAGGTGAAGGTCCAGGTGAGGGAGAAGTTCTGTGAACTGTCGAGGGCGATGCACGGGATGGACAGAGCGAGACCCTCTTCCTGTGTTATACCCTCTGACAGACAACAAATAAACATGTGTTTACTTGAATTTATAAGAAGTACAATTTAAATGATATCTCATTGAGTAAGAAAACACACCTTGGTTTTTCCAAGAGGCAATCCACACCTGGGTCTTGTCAGCCGCTATGAAAGAGCAGAAGTAGGTATAGTTGGAGAGATTACCCAGAATCCTCAGGGTGCTCTCCACATTGAACAGACCCTTATGGTCTGTGGTTTTTATGGTAGAGTTTTCCAGAGCTTCCTGGGCAGAGGGAGGTTCTGTGGCCCACGTGACCTGAGGGACCGGGTAGATGTTGTAAGAGGAGCAGGTGACCGTCTCTTCAGTCATCTCCATGATCACTGACTGGATGACAGCTGGGAGGAACAAAATACAACATCGTGGATATTTAATGAGGATATGATTACATTTTTCAGACAGGATTATAAAAACGTGAACTGAGGCTCATTCAAGTAAGCAGGGCGACGAAAACGGTCTGGTGAAGCAGGATTTCTGCATGTTGTTCTGTCACTCACACAAAGTTATATTTAACGTTTCTCATTCCATTTACAGTGGTCTTTATTTGCTCCTTCTTTCAACACTTCTTGTATTTTAATTAAAGCTCTGATCTATAGCTACACCGTAGTTTAGTGTGGAAGTACTGTAGCTGGGGCAGACTGTATCTAGATACTTGTTCTAATAGCTCACATGTAGAACCCAAAACATGAAACCTGGACTGTTAAATGGACCTCACAGTGTCAGAAATTAAACGAACCCTTCACACCCTTTTTATGATGATTTATTTGGCATTGTGTAAGTATATTTATTAG